GGGGACGCACCTCAGCAAGGGCACCAACCGAGAGGGAAGCGGGGACCAAAGAGACCTCCATAGCAGGAACAGGGGGCATAACCACTGAAACGGGAGGGGACGGAGTGAGAGAGTCAGAAGTAGGGGCCGAGGAAGAAAGCAAAGCCCTTTTACCCATTGTAGGAGGAAGGAGAGGAGCCAGGCTTACGCTTCCGGCGCAAAGAGACAGGTGTCCCAGCAACTACGTATTGGGCAACGGATACCAGCGTCTCAACAGGAGAAGCTGAATGAGAGCATACACGACGACCGTTGGGAGAGCGATGGACATCAGCCTGTACCTACAGGCGGCGTGGAGAGCCAATAGACGGAAGAGGAGGATGGGAAGGAGGATCGGAGGGAGGTGAGGAAGAAGACACAGGAGACATGAACGACCAGGCAGAAAGAAGGGGAACTCCAGACAGAGGACCAGGAGGGGGACCCTTTGGGACAGACCTCAAAAGAACAGAGGAGGGGGCGGTGGGCGTATCAGAGTCCAAGGCCCGGAAACTGTTTTGAATCTGAGGAAGGTGGGAAGGACGAGGAGAGGAAGTGCGCAACACGCGAGCATAATTAATGTTAGCATAAGGTGGGAGCCGGAGAACCTGGCGCTTTGCCTCAAGAAAAGATAAACGCTTTCAGCTCTTGAGGTTTATCTTTTACCTAGGGAAAAGATAAACGCTCCCGGTGCTTCAAGTTGAGGACGGCTGCCTCAAGTTTATAATGTATACACGCACAGGAGAAGGTAGGGTGGGCCTCGCTGCAATTGAGGCAGCGAGCCTGGTGAGAAGTGCACTCCGATTCAGAGCGACCTTCGCCCCCCACACAAAGGACAGTGTTTTCCAGAGCAGCGGAGGGCACCATGCCCAAACCTCCGGCATTTATTACAGAGCCGAGGAGAGGGAATGTACTCCTGGACAGAGCACCTGGCATCAGCAAGAATGAGAGGGTAGAAAGGTCCTACCATCAAAGGTAATCTTCACAACCCGAAGGGGCTGACAGCGACGACCACGAGGGGGGGGACGAGTAAACGTATCTGCCTGGAGGACAGAATGGCCATGGGCATCAAGGATATGCCGAATATCATCGTGGCAGTCCTGCAGATTCCGAACACCGGTTGCAACATGGGGCGGGAGGAGAATAGTGCCAACACTGGCATTCAACCGAGCGTTCTTTGAGACCTGAACAGGGGTCTTGCCAAGGCAGGATAAGGCAGCCGAGCAGGAAGCTGCATACTGAGAAGGAGAAGCAATGACACGTGTACCGAAACTAGTGGGGTTGAAGGTAACGGGCATCTACGGAATCAACAAGAGGCCTATGGAGGGAGAAATCGTCAGAAGGTGTAGAATCAAGAGGGAGGCTATCAAAGTATTTGGCCCACGAAGCGGAACCAAACAAGGCTTGATATGCATCAGTACAAGAAGGAATCGAGTGAATGCGGCCATGACACGGACGGCGCTGAGAACCCCCAGAGGGGTTAAAAGGCGCAGTAGTCACAACGAGAGAGAGCCATTCCCAGGGGACGAAGTGGTCACCACTGGGGACTTGTGGCTCGACCCAACCACAGAGGAAGGAGGGGAGCCGAGGGGAGAAGTCAGGAGGGTCAAAGGAGGAGCAAGGTCAGGGTCCAACGCAGTGGGGGATACGGAGCCCGGTCTTCCAATACAGTTCAACTCGGGGGCTTGGTCGCCCACCCCACCAGCCTGAGAGGAACATTCAATGATAAAGACGAAAAGACATTCATTCACGAATGTGCCCCCATACCAACCATGGAGTCACAATTAGAGGCAGGACACCCAACAAGAAACTATCGCCAATCATGCCGGGACCCCCTAGGGGTGCGTCGTGAGTATACGCCCCACAAACGCCACCTTAAGAATCTTCAGTCCGTCGAGATCGAGTTCAGTGATGAGAGGAGGATTGACAATAAAAGGTTCCCCTCGCTCAAGACGTTGGGTTCTACAGTTCTACGGGTGCAAGAGTATGCCTCCTCAAACACCTGGGCGTCAAAACAAAATGCCAAAAGAATGATCACAACAGGCCCAAGGTCAGCAGGAAATGACAACGAGAAAGAAGAGGGGGGGGGGGAGCAAAACAAAACAAAAGGAAACGGAAAAGGCGTCCAGCAAAATTTGCGAGGACAGCAGCAGAATCAAGGCTACAAAAGAACAGGGGACCGCCCTAAGGAGCATCACACTGTCAGTCACCCACCAAGCCTCTCCACGGCAACAACGAGCTGGACAGGGAGGGGAGTTTAAGAAAAAAAACCAAGTACTACCTAATTAACTCCATGTAACCTACCTTACCCCCTAAATGTCAACCCATGTCTTGCTATTTTAAAAAACAATACTGTTGACCAACTTGTTTAATTGCCGATTTCTGCCATGTCCCTCCCCCCCTTTCAACAATTTATACTTTAATCTTAATTAGTATTAGGTTTTAGTTTAAATGTTTTTTCCCATACCTTGCCTGAAACGCTATGTGTATTAGTGGCTTTAGATATTGTATGTACTATCTATAATCTAACATTATGTTTGTAACTCATCTTCTATGTATGTACTTTTACCTGAATAAACATTTAAATTTTGAATTGGTGATAACTAGCTTTGCAGTACCCACCAGTGCAAATTACCCTTTACCCTAAGGAAAACAAGGGAGGAGGAAACCCCCTCCCACCCCCCCAGCTCACTCATGGCGGTCAAATATCACCGGGCAGCAAAAGACCAACAGAGGTAGACCCCAAGGTGACTTGAGGAAAAAGCATAGCCCCAAGGGCAGTACTTACAAGGCACTTAGGGAAGGTAACCCTAAGCGCATGCAACCCGAGTACCAGTGAAGAGTACTCCCAGCTCACTCACCACCCTGAAGACAGCACTAAACACAAGGCACAGCACTGAGACAAGAAACAGGAGCTGGAGTTACACGACCAAGCCTCAATCACATCAGCCCGAACTGGGGTGTGGGGTAGCCATCGTGAGTGGTCTGGGGCTCCCCCTTCCCCCTCCCAGTGAGGGGGGAGCTGCGCAGACGGCGGCGCGGCAACGTGGTGACGTCATGCTCGTTTGCTTGTTTTTCTTCGGGGAGTTCTGTCCACTCGTTTGACTTTTAGTAGTAGTTTTAACCAGAATAGGAGTTTGTTTTGGGATGTTTACCTTTCTGGGTGCCTGATCCAGAAGATAGCAGACATAGAATGCTCCAAATCACATTTGCAATTCTATTTATTTAAATATATACAAGAAAGTACATTGGGATTGTGAGGATATATAGCAGAGTAATTACATTCTTGTAAAGCCATTAGTACGTGCAGCGTTTCGGGTTGGTCCTTAATCTAAGAAAAATTTTAAGTAGGTAAATACTTGCAAAATTTATAAAAATGATAACAGTTACATGCAAGAAAAAAAATAAAAGAAGAGAGAAAATTGTAGGTATATTAAAGCACATAGCTCAGATTAATTGCAATTGACAGCTTGAATGGTAGTTTAACAAAAATTAGTAGGCACAATACAGGATATGGCTAGCACATAAAAGACAGCAATGAACACAATGATAAAGTTGTTTGGATTAAGTACATAGAGATTGGGTAACACTAGATACAGAGCAAATTTAAAGCTCAGTGTAAGAAACAACGAAGATGAAATTAGGTACTTGTTGGTTTTGTTTTTGAATGAGGCAAAGTTTGACAGCTTTTCAATTCACTAGGGAGTGAGTTCCATAGGTCCAAATAAAGGTCCCTTTATTTGCATAGTGTGTTTACACAGATTAAGTTTGACCCTGGGGATATCAAAGATATATTTATTTCTGGTGTGGTGATAATGGGTCCTATTACATCTGTCCAGGGAGAGTTTCAGAGCATAGTTTGCATATAAGAACAGGGTTTTGTAAATGTAGTTGACACAAGAGAATGTGTGAAGGGAGTTAATATTTAGCATGTTAAGGGATTTAAACAAGGGAGCTGAGTGTTGTCTGAAAGCAGAGTTTGTTATTATTCAGATAGCAGATTTTTGCTGGGTGATGATGGGCTTGAGGTGGTTTGCAGTGGTAGACCCCATGCACAGATACCATAATTAAGATAGGGATAGATTAGTGCATAATATAGTGAGAGGAGAGCAGAGTTAGACACATAATATCTTATTTTGGAGAGTATACCAACTGTTTTAGAGACTTTCTTAGTTATGTGTTGAATGTGGGTGCTAAAGTTGAGTCTTGTCTAGGAATAGGCCAAGAAACTTTCCATTATTTTTATTACTGATGTTAATGTTGTCTATCTGTAGCTGAATTGCATTTGATGATTTGCTTCCAAATAAGATGTAGTACGTCTTTTCTATGTTTAGTGTTAGTTTGTTAGTTGACATCCATAAGTGGACTTTTTTAATTCATTATTCACAACATTATTTAGTGTACATGGGTTGGGGTCTGAATAGATGAGGGTAGTAGACTATAGTCCGTTGCTCATCATGCCTCTCTGAAGGGGGCCAGGTTCTGGCTCATGGTCCCCGGTACGCCTAAGATCTCAATTCACACTGACTGATGCAAAAGTCTAATAGTTCTATATCAGCCTGGATAAGCTCCGGGTAGCCGAAGGGGCTCCTCCCCCCCCCCCTCCCTAGAAAAATAGATAAAAAATCAGACATTAAAATAAATATGTAATATTATCTTTGTGGCAACTTGCGCCTGACAGCTTGGGTGGAAGAGACCAACCCTGGACGCCTACTTTGTCAGTGCCTGAATCTTGCCAGACTCTCTCGCCCTACTGCGGCCAAAATAGGTCACCTACGATTTTTTCTTATTTTGCCTTTAATCAGGGAACAAATTTTAACAATCTTAGAAAAAATGATTTTGTTTTTTCTTGTACACAGCATGTTGTTGGCTATAAATAGCTGCACTGCCTGTCCTGGGGTTAACCTACCTGTAATGTAAATTAAATTATACCATTTATATAAAAGATATAACTGGGAAGACACCACACCCCAGAGATGAAGACTTACTTTACTGACAGAGAGTTCGGGTTGATAATAGTCATAAATTTTCACAGTGCCAGGTTTAACGTCCTCTACATCAATTTCTCGTATTATACGGAAGCTCACGCAAATGTCTTCTGATGAGAACTCATCGATATAAAAGGTGACTCTATTCCCATCAACTTCATAGCGTTTGAGGAGTCCTGTGCCATATCCCACAATCTGCTTAAGATCTGCCTTTTCAGGAATGTAACCTGAAACCAAGTTGACTTCTATGACTGCCATGTTTGATTTCTTATCAGGAAGCCGATATGAGGCACAGGCCTGGATCCTCTTGGTGACACACTTTTGATCGGGAGCTGTTTCTGTATTAACACTCAGCAAAAATGCTTCACTTGGTTTGGCATCGGGAACATTGTACCTCAGAACACCCTGAGGAAAAACACTAATGTCAGTAAATATTTATTGTCTAAAGTTACTTTATCTACTAATAACAGATTAGGGAGAAAACTGGGCTTCGTAAACCGTGACAGGATTGGTAACTAATAATGACGAAAAATGGGTACCACTAAGTAATGTGTGTGTATTTACTAGAGGAATTACACAAATCTATGAAAAGGACAAGTTGACTTGTTTAATGGTTACCAGAGAGGAACCTATTATACAAACTGAACAAATTAAAGCTCAAGTCTCTAGGGTCGGACGAAATACTTGCCAGGGTGCTTAAAGGTAAAGAAATATTTAGTGAACCCTTGTCATGCATATTTAATAAATCAAGAGTATCACGCAGAGTACCGGATTGGTATAGTTTCAAATGTGGTAATGATTTTTAAAAAGGTAGATACCAGTAGATAACTTGTGTCAAATTATCGTCTTTTGTAGGAAAATGGTTTGAATCAATAATCATAAAAGCTACTTATTTACATCTTCAAAAACAGATTAATAAAGGATTCACAATAGGGTTTGCTAAAGGCTGCTCTTGTTCATTAAATGTACTCCATTTTTTTACCACTATCATTGTGGTACTCAAAGCACCACAACAAGAAACTCACCTTATCAAGTAACTCACCTGAACAAGAACACATCCTTCTCCTTCCATGTCAAGAACAACATTACTTGGAATTTTAGGTAGATTCACCATTTGTTGAAGAAGCTTGTTAGAATTAACTATGTGAAAGTTATGTTCAAGAGATTCTGCTGCTATAGTTACGACCAAGTTTACAGTGCCATGATCCTGGTGACCTTCAAAACTTGCTAGAGCTTGCAGCGCAACCACCGTGTCCTGTGAATAATAAAAAAACTATTGCATATTTAACCCTGCACTGTGCACCTGTCCCTTCACATGACATTCAACATTCTCGTGGTGTACCGAGAAAAACTTGTATATTTATTTATTTATTTAGTTATATACCATAAGGTACATTGGGTTTTTGAGGGTACAGAGCATTGAAGTTTTACTTTTTTGTAAAGCCACTAGCACGCATAGCGTTTCGGGCATATCTTTAATCTAACAAAATTTTAAGAAGGGAATTATTAGCAAAATTAAAAAAAAATTTACAGGTACATTGTAAGAAAGTATAAAAATACATTGTATAAGAAATTTGACAAAAAAATAGGTACATTAAAGTAAATATAAGGGTTATCCACAGGCACATTGTAGCATAATTTGAGGATTATTGCAAGGTATAATGTAGTAAACTATGTGTATAACATGATATAAGATAACAGCAATGAAGCAATGATTACAATGGTAACGTTGTATGGCAACGGTACATAAATTGGGGAATTAGGTAGCAATAGATACAGTGCGAGTTTCAAGCATTTGGTAGCAAACTATGAAGATAAAATTAGGTACTTTGGGTTTATTTTTGAATAAGGTAAATGTTTGACAGTTTTTCAATTCATTACGGAGTGAGTTCCATTGACCAGGTCCCTTTATTTGCATAGTGTGTTTACACAGATTAAGTTTGACTCTGGGGATATCAAAGAGATATTTATTTCTGGTGTGGTGATTATGTGTTCTATTACATCTGTCTAGGAAGAGTTTCAGAACAGTGTTAGCACTTAAGAACAGGGGTTTTGTAAATGTAAATGGCACAAGAGAATGTGTGGAGTGAGTTTGTGTGTGGAGTGGGATTTAAACAGGGGGGCCGAGTGTTGTTTGAAAGCAGAGTTTGTCATTATTCAGATAGCATATTTTTGCTGGGTGATGATGGGCCGAGGTGGTTTCCCGAGGTTGAGCCCCATGCACAGATACCATATGTAAGATAGAGATAGATTAGCCCATAGTATAGTGAGAGGAGAGCAGAGTTAGGAGCATAAAATCTGATTTTAGAGTATACCAACCGTTTACAAGACTTTCTTGGTTATGTGTTGTATGTGGGTGCTGATGTTGAGTCTCTTGTCTAAGTATATGTCAAGGAACTTTCCATCATTTTTATTGCTGATGTTAACATTGTCTATCTGAAGCTTAATTGCATATGTTGATTTGCTTCCAAATAAGATTTAGTAGGTCTTTTTGATGTTTAGTGTGAGTTTGTTGGTTGACATACATAAGTGAACTTTTTTTGGTTCATTGTTTACAACATTGCGCCTGCACCTTAGTAGGCGAGACAACCCAGGGAGAAGCTGACACCAAATCCAACTCATAAGCAAAGGTGGGAAAAGAACAACCCATCCTCCGAATTGACAGTACGGTTTAATATAAAGTGTAATAAGTACATTTTCTGTCATACATAGTACATAATTGCACGCATGGGGCTGTTACATTTACCTACCCATTTATTCTCCTCGTTTTCTGCTAAGATACTCAGAGTTTTAGAATGACGTTTTCAAGTTCAATTTGCTATATACAAGTTTTAAATAGTAGGAATTTCTTTTTCAGTTTCATTAAACAATAAAGATTTTATACAAAATTTGAAAACATCCCGAGTTACTTTACAATTTATTGAAATATTTTAGTTTTGTTTTATAAAACTGTAATATCAATTATAGTTAAATACGAATTGTAATTAAAAGCAATAAAAGGCTTATCTTCAAAAACTAAGAAGGAAAGGTTAGGTCGTGATTTACTATTCAGCTTTTCAGGTAAACTCAAATATTCACAATATATTTAAAAGTACGGTTTAATACTAAGTGAAAACAAGTACAATTCCTGATTGCTAGGTACCCCGATTGCCTGATTGTACATAAGTACACTTGTGCAGTTACATTAACCTCCCCATTTTTGGTGGATGGGCTGAAAAAGAAAACCCCACTCCTTGTACAACCTGTTCTCGCACTTTCTTACAGTCAATATAGACTTATTAAATAAGTGCATATGTGACATACTAATTTATTGTGAATATTTTAGTTTACCTCGAAAAGCTTCATAGAAAACACCGACCTTACCTAACCTTCTTAGTATGTTAAGATAAGCATCTTATTGCTTCGTAATTACAATTATTACTTAACCTATACCTATAATAGGTTAAGTAATAATTGTAATTATGAAGCAATAAGATGTTTATCTTAACATACTAAGAAGGTTAGGTAAGGTCGGTGTTTTCTATGAAGCTTTTCAAGGTAAACTAAAATATTCACAATAAATTAGTATGTCACATATGCACGTATTTAATAAGTCAATATTGACTATACGAAAGTGCAAGAATGGGTTGCCTTGTAACAGTAAGCCCCACTCGGAGGGTAGGAAAACCCTAGAGGGGCCGAATGGGGACCAAGGCCCCCAAGTCAGCCCCTCCAACCCCAGGAACCTCCACACCAAGACCCGGGGCCGAGTTGCCTTCCAAAGCCCCGTAATCGTGAGAAAAAACTGGGGCAGCCAGAAAGGAAGGGCCCACTGGTCAGACCCCGTTGCCACAGCTGGAGGAACCGAAACGAATGCCACTGTCGTCCACCCGCGGAAGGGGCAACTCCCGAAACTGCCAGAGTCTCAGAACCTTCGAAACTCTGTCCCGACCCCAAACCCTTCAGACGCTTCAGAGCCGGAGTTAGGGGATGGGTGGAGGGCCAAAATGAACCATTGGAGGGGAAGAACGAGGGTGTGTGAAACTGAATCATGACCGAAGCGACCAACACCCCCAAGTCCAGGTCCGTATAAGCAAAACGGGGTAGCAATCAACCTAGGGCGTTGCAGCATCTTAAATCTAGCATGCAACGACTGAGCCGCCTGCACCCGGATAGTCATCAGTGGACTTGGTGAATAGAGTAACAAACAAGCAACAATTCTCGCAGGACTCAAAGGGTCACATGCGACAATTTTTGCAGGACTGCCTGTTTGGTAGAAGGTGTCACCGACCCAACAGGCAGCATAACCGAGACAAAATTAGTGAGAATCACCCTAGACAAGGGAGCAGAACAACCCTCGAACTCGCACAAAGCGAGAGGGGATCCAGGGGTCGCATCCATTGGACCCCTTGCGCCCCCTCTGGGTTTCCCAGAGCCCTTAGACTGGTATCATAAAGGGTAAGCCCAGGCAAGGTTCTGCAAACCGGAGCCCAAGTCTACCAATCAAACCTCTAAAAGCTGAACCTCCGAGACGTGTCCGGTCACGGGGGTCTAGCAGGGGGTACCACCCAGAAACACAGAGGTATCTAACCTAACAAATAGGGGACAATGAACCAAAGGTATACCACCACCAGGCAGGATAAACAAAAACAAAAAGAACCCACACGAGGACAATGTACCCAGGCGGAACAGAGCCGGCCGCTATAATAGGTAATAACTTGCTGTGCAGTATGCTGCGCCCCTCCCAGTGCAAACTATCCCTTACCCAAAGATGAACAAGGGAGGAGGAAACACCCCAGCACACTCAGGGCGGTCAATTGCCGAGTAGCAAAAGAACAACAGAGGTCTTTTGTAATTACCCCAAGAGCAGTACTTACAAGGCACTTAGGGAAGGCAACCCTAAGCACATGCAGCCAGAGTACCAGTGAAGAGTACTCCCAGCTCACACACCACCCTGAAGACATCAAACACAAGGCATAGTACTAGGACAAGAAACAGGAGCTGGAGTTACACGACCAAGCCTCAATCACATCAGCCCGAACTGGGGTGTGGGTAGCCATCGTGAGTGGTAAGACCACTCACGATGGCTAACAAATAACTTTTTTAAAAAATAACAATTTTTTAGAGCAATTTATTTTATTCACACCTCTGTGTTGCATGCTCAAATCACTTGAGCAGCCGAAGGGTTAATGTCAGCTGGCTCAGTGCAGGGGTTAAAAGTAATTTTTCAGCATGATATATTTAATGACATCTCAACTTATTGTAACCAAGGAGCTGCAGTGCAAGGATAGACTTAAGTTCTAAAATCTAAAAAGAGAGATGTGGAATATATGACTTCATGCACAGAAAATAAATTCCACTGAAAGAATACCATTATTGTTTTTAAATCACAAGGCAAATCAATAGACTTTGACAAATCATTTTCATTATAACTCCTTTCATCCGTTAAGGAAATAAATTGTTGTTATAATCATCATATTTTCACAAATGGTTCAAACATTGTAATATAATTGGTGTATTAAATGAAATGCTGTTAATATTATGGTTTTAAAAATTTGATTGAAACAGTAATTAAAATTGTTTTTTTGCATTTATTAATATGTTTTGACATTAATATTATTAGTCTTATCGGGGTGCAACCCGCTCTCGCTCAAGACAGCACCTATATGACTTATTGCTTATAGTCACTATTTTGCTTATTTATAAGTGCATATGCGACATATTCCAAGCCATATTTTTTTCAAGGCACTAACTTCTCCTCTCAATTTTTTTTAAACAATAGAGATTTTATACAAAATTTGGCAATATCCTGAGTTACTTTACAATTTATTTAAATATTTTAGTTTTGTTTTATTATTTTTATAGAACTTTTTTATCAATATGTCTTGAGGTTATCTTGAGATGATTTCGGGGCTTTTAGTATCCCCGCGGCCTGGTCCTCGACCAGGCCACCACCCCCAGGAAGCAGCCCGGGACAGCTGACTAACACCCAGGTACCTATTTTACTGCTAGGTAACAGGGGCATAGGGTGAAAGAAACTCTGCCCATTGTTTCTCGCCGGCGCCTGGGATCAAACCCAGGATCACAAGTCCCGCGTGCTGTCCGCTCGGCTCCCTTAGGTATATATAGGTTCAGTACTAATTGTAATATCTTAACATACTAAGAAAGGTAGGTTAGGTCGGTGTTTTCTATGCAGCATTTCAAGGTAAACTCAAATACTCACAATAAATTAGTATGTAACATGTGCACTTGTTCATATGCCAAATATTGACTATAAGCAAGTGCAAGAACGGGTTGCTTATCGACATTTAGGAAAGAAAGCTTACCTGTGTTGAGATAAAACCACCTTGACCATTTCTCTTAGAAGAGATCCACTTGACAACTTTTCTGGCCTGGTTATCAAAACGTTTACTATCCAAAGTCATCATAGCCAAGATGGCATAGCCAGCAGTTTCCACTGCTACAGCATCACTCCTGCCTACAATAAAGTAAAACGTATACACAGTGAAAATTAAGCTTCTTTTTTAACACTTACAATACAGAACGTAGAATAACTTAATTGTTTCTTTATTGTGCATTGACTATGGGACTCTCAACATTGACGACAAGGCTCTTAAAATTTACTACACAACTCTTAACAAAACGTATTATCAAGTTGTGACCAATAAATAACAGTCATCAAATGCTAGAAGCTCAAGTTCCACAAAAATCTATTTTCCTCTCTTTGGTGTGAATTTCAAACTAATGGTTTAATTTATGCTTGTGAAAAGTGAAAAATGCAATAAAAGAAACTTTGTTTATATGTAAAACAGTGCTACTGTATTATTGTTGGCAAACAGTAAGAAAATGTTATAGATATATATATAATAGAAAACATATTAGATTTACAACTATGTTGATAAGAGAGAATGTGTTTAAGGTTGGAGGTCAGACACTTGGGGCTAGCCCTCACCCAACTTTGCAGGGGGATAACCATTGGCTGGTTGGGGTGGCCTAAGTTACATGCTTTAAGAAATATTACTACCGGTAATTATAAATACCCACTGGCCATTTAAAAGGAGTCTTTCATTAGGTCAAGTGTAAAATCTGGTGTGTGATTAACATAGAATTGTTACTGAAACGAACAAATGTATTTGAAAAAGTAGAAGGGAAGAGGAGAGAAAGAAAAACAAAGCTTCTTGAGATGAGAAGCATGTGAGAAGAGGGGGGGGGTAAGACAAGGGGAAGGGACAAAGGGGATGGGAAATAGGGCTAGATAGATATATAGCTAGACAGAGAGGTAACTAGAGGGAGACCGGGAGAAAGAGACTATCCTGGTCATTGTAGGTATCCCTTCAAGAATGCAATAATTCAAGTATATAATATTTAAATGACATATTGAAGTGCATACAAATGTGTACTCTGCAGCATGTAACCTTCCATGGGCCAAAGAAAATATATCGCATTGAATGTAATGAAACACCAGTTTCTGGGTGAGCCCCGGAGGCTCCCTGAAGCTAGCTTACTTATTAAGTGCCACACTACTAGGAGTCATCAGTCGCAGGGTTCTTGTATGCCTACTGAGGGGGAGGGGGAGGAGAGCCCACGTGCCAGAACCTGGCCTCTCAAAGGCGCAGGGAGCAATGGCTCATTAACACTTTTTACTTTAAGTTTATCATCTAGCCATCGACCAGGGAATCACCCAGAAAGGTAGGCGAATCAAAACAGACTACTGGCTGATAGAAAATGTGACATACGCCCTCAAAATATCAAAAGAATTACCCCAAATAGAAAAGAAACAAGCAAAACTTTATCCAACTAACCCCCCTGCTCGTTACCTCCATCCATCCTTGCTTTGGGGAGGGGGGGGGGAACCGGTCCATCACCAGTTGTTCTTGAATAATAAAAGTTGCCAACCGGAGGGAGGGAGGGAGGGAGGGTGTCAGTAAGCCTTCGGGACTCACCCAGAAACTGGCGTTTCATTACAATCAACGCTGGTTTTCTGTCGGAAGCCCTGTTGGCTCCCTGAAGCTAACTACCCACAGAGAAGGAATTATCAATAAGAAGAGTAGTCGGCCACGACAGACGACCCCAAAGCAGTACAAGGCCGTAAATGGCCAGGGACGGTCACCACATACCTGGCAGCAAAGATCCTGTTAGACCTCCCAAAACCCCCGTGCCCAAATATCATCCCAAGACATGTTCCCAAACGTTGCCAACATAGTGGCAAACGTCTGATCATCATGGGCACGAGGCAAGACCAAAGGTTGACTAGAAGTTATGACACTGCGGATGACCCGAGACTCGAGCCCTTCAACAGGGAATCTGGGAAACCAATGCACCCCAGCCGAACTAACCACGTATCCACAACTAAAAGACCCCTCCAAAAAGCAGTCGTCTCAATCTTCGCCAGAAAAGAAGGGGCCGACCGCAACCGAACAAGACGACCACTAGGACCAAAAGAACAAAACCCCCGGCACCGGACAAGAGCATGAAGCTCCCCGACTGACCACCAGAGGCCAAGGCCAATAGAACAAGGCCTTCCAGTAATGATCACAAACTAAAGGGACCACCATAACCGAAGTGAAGAAAAAACGAAGGTGAAAAATGCATAAAAAAAAATTGGGATATGGGATAGAAGTGACATCCACCCCGAGCACAAGCTGAAGCGGCTCCCCCCGTGCCGCACGATACGAAGCGACAGTATTCATCATGTGAAATTGATCTTGGCATAGAGGGGACAAAACAACCCTGTTGGACAGAAAGAAACCCAACGAAGAGAAAGAAGATGGCAGAAAGCCTGCCAAGAAAACACTGTCATGGGGAAGAAGAAAGGTGGCACACCTTTAACTCCCTAAAAGGTGCTTTGAATGATAGCCTGCCACACTGCTAGGGGAAAAAAACTTTCCTTTAAGATTGTTAAAATGTGTTTTCTGATCACGAAAAAAAATCTTAAAAAAAATCGTAGGAGACATTTTGTTACCAACGACAAAATATGTCGCGTACATATTAGGCACGATACAAGGCGACATATACTGTCACCTTGTATCGTGCGACACTGGCAGGGCCGCTCCAGCTTGCATTCGGGGTGGATGTCTCCTCTGCCCCGTTCTGTAAGTTTTTTCATTCTTTGTTCCTCTCTGGCCTGCTCATGTGCCGCCTGAGCCGTCCTGGTCCTTGGACAGGGTGCTCTGTCTTCTCGGTTTGGGGTGGCTCATTCGGTTCAAGATTGTTTTTCCAAGGCTCTATTTTTTCTTGACATTGGCCTCTAGGGATCGAGTCAGGGAGTTTCCTGCTCTTTTCCTGCACAGGGGTTTCTGCTTTTTTTGGTCCTGGTGATTGATTTGTTAGTTTGCTGCCTTTTTCTTTTCTGGAGAAGGACGAGACGGCTGCTTTCCAGAAGGGTCCTTGGGTCATTGGTGCCTGGTTGGTCAGGCTAGGGGTGCATATTGTGTTATGTCCGGTTGCAGCTCTTTGCTGTTATCTCCGCATTTCGGCTTCGGTAGCTGGGGATGCGTTTTGGGTTTATCTGGTTTCCCTTATTCCCTGTTCTGGGGCTCGGGTTTCCCAGGTAGTCCGCAGGATCATCAAGTCTAGCCAGCCTGCGGTCTATCCTCCTCCCCATGCCGTTTGGAAGTTTGCCACTTTGGCTGCCATGTATGGCATCATGTCTTTGGTTGATCTTCGGGAACTGGGATTTTGGAGGTCAAACAGGGGTCAAGGCCGCCCGTCTTTGGTTAACGTTCCTGCTCCTGGGCGTTCCTGTGTTGCTTTGGTTAGAAGGTTGACCCCCATTGTCTCTACTTCGCGTTGAGGCGGCCGCCTCCCGGGTATGTTTCTCTTTTCCTTATCATTGGTGATGCAGCTCCAGTGAGCCGAAGGAGTTCCCCACAAAATACCAACGTTGAATGTAATGAAACGCCATTTGCTGGGTGAGCCCCAGAGGCTCCCTGGTAACCCTCCCTTCCTTCGGTCGACGATTTTTCGTGTTTTAGATGCTTAGCTTCCGAACTGGAGGTCCGAGTAGCCGGCGTCGGGGTCCGGGCCTCCCCCCTCCCACTCTTAGGAAGAGGAGGGCTGCACGGACGAGCAGCGCGGCAGTGGAGTGTGACATTTGCTCGTTTGCTTGTTTCATTGGGATTGGAGGACGTTCTACCTCTCTGTTCAGTTTTTAGTCGTTAGTTTCTTACCATGAGGAGTTTGTTTTGTTATGCCTACCTTTCTGGGTGCCTAATCCCGGTCGATGGCAGATAAGGAAAACCCCAAACCACAGGTGGGGGGGGGGGTTCCAGGGCCATTGCTCCCAGAAATCTCTCTGAAGGGGCCAGGTTCTGGCTCGTGGTCCCTGGTAGGTCGAACTCCATAGTTATCTTGAGATGATTTCGGGGCTTTGCGTCCCCACGGCCCGACCAGGCCTCCTTTTTTGTTACACATCCCCAGGAAGCAGCCCGTAGCAGTCCTCTAACTCCCAGGTACCTATTTACTGCCAGGTAACAGGGGCATCAGGGTGAAAGAAACATTCTGCCCATTTGTCTCCGCCTCCACCGAGGATCGAGCCCCGAACCTCAGGACTACGAATCCGAAGTGCTGTCCACCCAGCTGTGAGGCGCCCTGTTATTATAGTGTTAGTAACCCAGTGGCCCTCAATCGTTCCTGATACGAGAGATAGCTAAGCTCTAGTATGATTTTTGTTGCCCGTTGCTTCACCTTCTCCAGAGCAGCTATGTCTTCCTGAAGATGAGGTCTCCATACATGGATGCAATAATCCAGGTGAGGGCGCACCAGAGACTTCCAGAATTGAAGGACTATTTTCTTTTTCTTGAAGGTAATGGTACGCTTGATTATTCCCAGGGTTTGGTTCACCCTTTTTTTACTGCTGCCCCCACTTGTTGTACAGCTTTTAGTGAATGATGGACTGACTCCAAGGTCCTTTTCTTCATCTATCTGTTGTATGGCAGTGCTGTATTTACCTGAATGTAAATTCAGGTAAATACACCTGCTGTATGTTCCAACTTTGGTTTCGCAAAGGTTGTAAACAATTTCTTCAGTATTTCACCATCCATGTACAGTATTTAGAAGCAGCTTTGAAATTGGAAAATGAAGCATAGGTTCCTCGACAATGTTCTTTATGTAATCTTTTGGTGACAGTTTTCTATCTAGAACCATCTCAAGATTTATTTATGGGAAATTTTCAAAGCTTTTTCACAAAATTTATATTCCACATTCCATAAGGTGGCATTATTCACATTTGTAGCGAGTCTATTATGCAAATAATATACCCGCACTAAACTCTCATTAGGTTAATGTGATGGGGTTAAGTCTACTAATGCCACTAATGACAATTCATACCTCTTCCCTAACTACAGTTAGCACTCTTTCCAACCTATTAGGTAATGTGTGGTCCGATTATATAAGCAATCGAGAAGCAAGTAATCATCAGTATAATTTCAACAATGGTTCAGTGCAGACGTTTGAGAGTTGCCGCACACCTTCAGCCTC